AAGAAACTGCCAGCAGAACTAGGCACAGGGAGCGGCAGCCATCTGCCATCATTTGGGGTTGAGGGGAGGAAGAGAGGACACAGACAAACTGTGGAGTAGAGATGCAGCACTACCCCTTCCCCTCCTTGTTCTCATGTTTCAGCACAACAACGCCCATCTTCACGCTGCCAGAGCAAAGTAGGCCTTTCTGGATCAGGACTCAGAGCACATCCAGACACTTCCTTTGCTAGCAATTAGTCCTGGTATGTTTGCTACTGAACATGAGCCTGGGACAGGCTGGGTCAATGTCCCAGAGGCAGCCACAACCAATGACCAGCCGGACACTGAACTCAATTCCACAAGAACAGATCCAGACACTTGTGCAGTCCAAACACAGATGGGTGACTGTATCCAGGGAAACCTATAGCATGTAGTACATATTTTGACTAGTAAAAAGTTAGTTTTTAATAGTTTTAATAGGTTGTTTTTACTGTCACTTAAACAAAAATGCTGATTTCTCCTCACCCAGGAGGCTGATCAAATCCACGTTTTTTCTGGTTGCTCTGTTCGGCGTGCATTACATCTTGTTCGTGTTCTTGCCCGTTGAAGTCAGCAGCTCTATGTTTAAGATCTGGACCTTTGTAGAGCTGGCTCTGTCATCCACTCAGGTAAACCAGGTGATACCCTGACTATTTCACTCAATTCAATGACAAATGTAACCACATGATCAGCTGACTTTTGTCTCTTGAAGGGCTTTGTGGTCGCTGTCCTCTACTGCTTTGTGAACGGAGAGGTGAGAGGTCTTCCGCTTTTACAATAAACAGATTCAGAGGAAAGTTTGGAACGTGCGGACCAACGTGCATGTGTGTATTCAGGTGCAGCATGAATTCCTAAGGCGGTGGAGGAGATGGAGGCTGACTCAGCACCTGCCCACCAGACGCAGCCAGCGCCACGGCTCCATCAGCCACAGCGGGACCCCTCACACCCAGGTGTCCCTGCTGCCCTGCTCTCCAGGCAGCCTGTTGACAAGCGGGCTCCCTGTGGACACTGTGGAGATGTGACTCAAGCTGGGATCAGCTCATTTTCTCGCTCGTCTCATCCATAGCATGACGGACTCTCACTTAGTGCCGACAGTCGACAGCTTGGCTGCTTAAAACAGCATCGGACGCTTTGTTTGGAGATTTAAAGTACTGACAGTAAGATTTTAGGAGTCGGTGAACAAAAAGCTACTTTCTTTAATCACTTTCTGCAAAATGTAGCTACCCTCTGTTACCCTGGCATCTGTCCAGGGTGTACGTTTAATAAGCTCTTTTTTTAAAAAAAAATGGATGTAACATTGTAACTAAGCTTTAATTTTACTAGTGGGTGTGTTGAAATGTTTTCTTTTATGTTTTTTATTGTCCTACCCCCCATTTCCTTATACAGGTTTTACCTCTTGCAAGATCACAGTGCTAAATCAGTGTTTGCTCCTAATGACTCGCCTGGTTAAATAAAGCTTACATCAGCTCAGTCCCAGAGTTATGTTTTAGCATTTAGTTTTACTTTGTTTTGACTTTTTTCAATTTGCTTTCAGTTCATTTCCAGATTGGATTTTTATTGCAAGACTCCACATCTACACCCTGATCAGACAACTTGTGGTACAATTTTCTACCAAACCAACAGATGCTAAAACTAAGACTATTTCCCCCCAGAAGTTTTGATTTCAGTGCTCCAAGTTCAAAAATATTTTAAGTTCACTTTACATTGTTAAAAAATAAATTTTACAGTTTTATTTTACTTAACTCAAACGCTTTTAATTCCTATTTTTAGTTCAGGTTTAGTTAACTATAATAACTTTGGTCCCAACACCATCTTGTGGCACAGAGTGAGTATTACACAAGAGTGCAATATACTGTTGATTGACCACGACTCGATAAGGAATGAATGTGAGGAAGCATTTAGATGTCAAAAAAGTGCCTGTATGAATGTGTGTGAGTGGATGAATGACATGTTGTATGAAGGTCTTTAAGCAGAAAGCAGTATATAAGAGCAAGTCCATTTACCATGTTGATTGCTGTAGTTATTTTAGTGACATTTTGATCAATTTCTTAAAGATGGGAAATTAGAAACAGGGAATTGTCAAAACCGAGTTAAAGGCATCCTGATTTTGTCATTACCATAGTTGAAGCTCCTGAGTATGTCCTGCAGCTCCCATAACAGCACTCAGCGCTATCTTTTCAAATACAAGTTTTTTAAACTAATTCAGTTTGATAACCACGCTGACATTGTAGTATGTTTTATTCTATGGAGCAGAAGTGGCACCTCAGGCCGCTGCTTTAGCCACACATCTACTGCCCTCAACCACACAAGAGCGCTTCCTTCTTGCCCTCTGACTCAAGACGTCAGCTGAGATTAAGCACCACCACCCGTGATATGTTCCAGAGCTGAAGGAAGCTCGGGGTGAGATTGTTAGACGAAGCCAGACTGAACACAGATCAGCCATCTGTGGCAAACATGCAAGGCTGATGGCGAGGAAAGAGTTTCCCGAAGACAACAGAAACAAATTTTTATATCTTTATTTTTCAGACATTTTACAAAACACTTATTTGCTGTCTCGATAGGATGCAAGAAGCCCAATACTGCATTCATGTCTATCCTCAGTATGAAGCTAGAACTAGCTGGTTTAGTTTAGTATGAAGTGGTACCAGGGGGGGGTCTCCAAAAAGGACAGTTTACATGCATTTTACCAAAGCCCACTCACTGGTTCAGTAGAACTCATAAAACAGAAACCAGAGCACTTCCAGTCCCATTTTGTTGTCAACACAAGCAAATAAGGTTCCAGTAAGGATGGCTTATCTCTTTCAACCATCTGAATGCACCCAATGATGAAACACACAGACTCTAGATTCCATATTTCTCCTTGAGTTCCTCCACCAAAGCAACATATTTGGCCATTGCTTCCTCTTTGGACAGACCTGTCGATCAGGAAACAGACA